GGGCCCCAGAGGAGAACGAGAGAACCGGGTGAGAAGCGAACGTCAACATGCCTTTCTGTCGTAGATGGCTTTCTGGCTGGTTTGCGATGCCGAAAGTCTAGAGCGGGCGATCTGACATGCGTGGTTGGTACGAGCAATAGCATCCCGTGCATATTCGGTTGACGGCGTTGTAGTGGTCGGAAGTAGGTTGTCGAGTGGTAACGTCGGATCACGGCCATAGAGCAAATAAAAGGGTGAAAAACCAGTGGTGCTATGACGCGAATAATTGTACGCGAAGGTCACGTGAGGTAGCGCCACGTTCCAGTCATGGTGGTCGGAGGACACATACATCGCGAGCATGTCCATGAGGGTGCCGTTTAGGCGTTCGGTAAGGCCATTTGTTTTGGGATGGTAGGAAGTGGTCAACTTGTGGTGCGTCGAGGAAGAGCGCAGAAGATCGTTAATTACTCGGCACAAAAATGCGCGGCCGCGATCCTTGAGTAATTGGCGGGCAGCGCCTTGGTGTAGAATGACGTCGTAAAGCAAAACGTCTGCAACGTCAGTAGAGGTGCTGGTGGGGAGTACTCGAGTGATGGTATACCTAGTCGCGTAGTCTATAGCAACGGCGACCCACTTGTTGCCCGATTTCGACTCAGGAAAAGGACCGAGAAGATGTATACCACCAATATATTCCGCATATAGAAGCACCGCCATCCAGCGGACTTTCCAAGGACTAAAGGAGAGGTGGCACACGCACACTTTCTTAGGGCTGGCGCTTCGTGTCTACTTCCCACCTTTAACCACCTCAAGTTCATGGTATATACTAGTTCACTGCATTCATGGCACTGCGGCACAACGCTCGCAAAACCTTTCTAAAACCAAGGAGCTTACGCGCAGTGAGTGTAACGTAGCAGCCCTTTCTTGTCAGATAGTGCTCAATGTACATGCTGATGGCTGCTGATGGGGAATGAGAGACAGGAGAATTCGGCTCTTAGTTAACGCGTACGCTGCGAATTTTTTATTGTTCAACAACGCACAGGAAAAATCTCCCACCAGCACTACCTTGCAGGTAAAAACGTAAGACTGGTTACACACTACGACTACGACTACTACGAGGGACGAACGGGTACGTGCCGCTTTAAGGAGCTTTACCCCTAAAAATGAGGCTGTTTTTGTAGATGTAGAGAAAGAGCAGGAAAGTGTAGTATGACTGTTGGTTGTCGCATGAAGAGTTGCAAATGGTACATTTGAAGGGAAGCTATAGCTTGCTCTGCTCTCTTGCAGGGGTGCCGGACGGGCGCACGTAATGCGTTTCTCTGACTGAAACTGTTTTTTCTTCCCTAGGTTCAAACCCTCCAGTGTTCTATTTCATCTTCTCCGAGAAGGCTAAGCAACTGGTTATGACTCTTGAAAGAAACAACGCCATTATTTAGAATTAGAGATTGTTTTCTCTTAGATCTTGTACAACACCCAATAGATAACCAAATCATCCTCTTGAATATTTTCATGAAATAATTCCGAGGCCCTTCCCTCACTGAACTCCACGTTGTGCCGAAGGTGAAAGTAGCCGTCGGCAAAAACACTAGGTGCCAAAAATCGAATGATGTCATACGAATACTGATCTGGGGTGCCAAAAATCGAATGATGTCATACGAATACTGATCTGGGCGATATGATTCATAGGAGATATGACTTCACGTATATCGTTAAATTTTTTTGTTTATTCATGACATATATATTATTATAACTTGATGGTATTCGTAATAAATTAATTAAAACCTGAAAAAGTAAAAGTGTACGAAAATATCACTTGTCGCGGGCAGGTGTCCTACTCTACGAATGTAAAAGTAACCCTAGTACTAAATGATTCCCTTCGCTTACTACCAAACCGGACTTTCATGTTTAAGTTAGGTTTATCAGAATCCGTAATTTACCTTTTGTGAGGAGGAGGAGGAATAAATGAGGAAGGACAGGGAGGTTAGCCAGTTCTACCTTTTGTGAGTCACCCCACAAAAGCACCAGGAGAGGCGACACAAATCACACAGCTCAAAAGTGTCGCCTGCATTTCTTGCTTTTTTTTTCTTTCGCAAAGGATCGAAGTTTTGTTTCGTCTATCTGGCTGCCTGTTAACCCAGGCGTTCGTTCAAAGCGCGCTCACCGCAGCCCTCAAAGGGCATAAAAAGTGAATAAAGACGTGTCAACAACAACAACAACAACAACAACAACAACAACAACAACAACAACAACAACAACAACAACAACAACAACAACAACAACAACAACAACAACAACAACAACAACAACAGGAACAGCAACAACAACAACAACAACAGGAACAACAACAGGAACAACAGGAACAGGAACAACAGGAACAGGAACAGGAACAACAGGAACAGGAACAACAACAACAACAACAACAACAACAACAACGACGACGACAAAAACAACAACAACAGGAACAGGAACAGGAACAACAGGAACAGGAACAACAGGAACAGGAACAACAACAGGAACAGTAACAACGTTCAGAGCGCGCCTCTTCTAATACAGTTCACAGCGCTGCCTCCATTCATCGATGACTCGCAGGTTGCGTGCTACCTTGTCGCGGAAAATTGCGATCACGCATTCCTGCATGCAACCAACCCTATGATACGGGATGTGTAAGACCTGCTTACGGTCGACGACACTGACGGAAAACTGCGTTTCATTTGATCTACTTGCTGCCAGTACCTCTCGCGGTTACAGGAAGAATCGCGTGGAATGAATAGAACTTTTGATAAAGTCCTGCGAAGTTAATTTGAGATGGGCCTCAGCCCCGGCCTGGGCATCGGTCTCTCCGGCTCGGGCGGCTTCCTCAGCCTTCGTTCTTTAAACAGTGAATGGATGGAAACAAAAGACAAATCGCAACAGAAGACCATATGGTCTCCAAAGTGTGTGGGTTGGGGACAACTGATAGTGGCGAAATGGTGGTTTCATTCCAAGATTGCTTTCGATACAAATAAAACTCTGTACATTTACTTTTCACGGAGGTACTTCTTATGTGGCTGTGGTTCAGAAATGAGAAGCTCAAAATAAGACGAGCACAAAATATTATTTAAAAAGTCACATTCACTTTTTGTCGTTTTTATGGGCATTATTCCATATCAGGGGGACATTGTACTTTGAATCAACGAACATTTGTTCTAAACACACCGTGATACGCTGTATTTATAATAACTGTTATGGCGTTGCGCGGAATTACCTCGATGGGCAGTTGAAAACACACAGCGAAGAAGCTCCTCTTCGATGATGGCGCACGCGTTTCCTCAGAGTGTACGGAAGGGACAGCTGGAGTTTCCAGATATTCCGTACTAATTAACGAAGCACTCACTACAGTACGTTTGCATGCCTGGCATTCTCTGAAGTGTGAACAATTCGATACATTGCATTGTTCCTTTAACTTGCTATACGCATTGCTATACGCAGTGATAAATTGGTGTTTCAGTGCTCAGTTGCGAAATGTATACACTGTTTTTACTCGTTTTCTTTATTTCGTTTGTTTTTGTACAAATTAGACGTACAATAACGCTTCCCTTCTTCATTGAATTTATACTAAGAAAAAAAAAAAGATTACTACGAAGGGCACAGTGGGGCTCGAACCCGGGTCCGCTGCTTGTCAGCACGGTATCCCTGAACCACGCCCCTGCTTGGAACTTGTTCACAAACTTGCCTTAGGCAGGCTTGATGTCGGGAAAGTAATCGCGTTACTTTAAGTAACAAAGCGTTTTAGAACAGCAAACAACCAACCTGGCGTCACACATTGCGAATAGCGAAACTAGTGGGTCATCAAATGCTCCAACTCATTAAAAAAGCCTGTTTTTGATCAATCATTAAATGTGGCACATACCCACTTCAGGCGTGATTTCTTCTCGTCTTCATCCACTGCAAGAACAATAGGCACAAAATTCCTTGCAAGTGTTCAGTGGATACCACGCTTCTCAGAAGAATGACGAAGGATAGCATACCTGTTGCGGGCCTCCTACCCAGAAATTATTATTATTATTAATGCCATAGTTGGTGCCTAGCAAGTGTGCTTGCAGCAGTTGCCCAATGAATGTTCAGAAAGGGCCCTGAAAGGCCACTATTTTAACTTTCGCTGTGACTGTGCTGCGCCTTCCACGCAGGCCTGGCGTTTCTTTTAAAATATAGACAACTACGAGCTCTTACCATTCTATATGGTCACTGCATGGAATCTTGCCAACTATTTCTACATCCTGTACAATGAAGTCTATTTCATTTTCACTTACGCCATTAGGACTTCGCCATGTTCACTCACGGTTAGCCCTTTTTCTAAAGAATTTATCTGTAGAGTCGATGCCATATTCCACCATTGCATGGTCACCGGTCCGTTTCTTGCCTATTTTGGCATTAAAGTCACCCATCAGAATTGAAACACAATCGAAAGTTGGGCTAGTATAGTTGGATATACATGGTATAACTGTCGTTTAAGCAAACGAATAAACACAAAGGAGCCCAGATCTTTCCATTTTTTACTTACTGTTCCCGAGTTGCCACGCTTCTGTTTTTTGCCCTCACAAGCATGCGTTGATATTGATTGCCTGCTTATATGTACTTCTCTTTCCAGCAAACATTTTTGGTGCGTTCTCAGTTCCTCTGTGTTTGTTTGTGTGCTTAAATGACAGTTAGCCCGTCAGAATAGTATACCGTGTCTTAACTTTATTAATGGCTGTCATTCCAAAGATCAACTCCTCATGAAGCGGTCCACATCTGTGCGCAAGGGTTACTAAAAACACGGGGAATGCGGGAGCACAGTGGCTGCTGTCCCACAGAGGACATTTTATATGAGACCTTCACAACCACTTTACTCTGCCGTCAGAAGTCGGGATGACAAGAAAGTAAGTAGTGGGGGTTCGCTGACCTAGTCGCCCGCATCAAGTGGACCCACAGACGCAAAACCCCTCCGGTTGCCGTAGTCATAAATCTCCCTCCTGTGGAAAACAATAAAACCCCATGAAGCACCGACGAGGAAGGAGCTCTTTCTCGCTTTGCTGAGAGTCGTTCAACGGCCTGTGTAACTCAAAGCCGAAAATAGAGCTGAGAAGAACAAGCTTTCCAGACTGCACCTGGGAATCCACTCGAACCATGTTCGCGATAACGACACTTCTGTTTGCGGCGATTACTGGGAGCATAGCGTGCGCCGAACATAGTGAGTTCACTCTTCTTCACTCAATGGCGTTGTGATTTAGGCTTCACGCTTCGTCTAGTTTAGATTGAAGTTCTCTTCTGTTGAGATGTTATGTTGAATTGTTACTGATGTCCACTACCTGTGAGGATAATTTTCTCAATACCCTTTTAGCTGGTCGCAGAAGTTAATATCTTTCGGATAGTATGTTCAAAAAAGACGCTGTTCAACATCGTACTTGTTTGAGTCCATGTCAGGACGTCATTTTGGTATATATAAGAGCTTGCCTTTAATAGCGATGTACTAAATACGCCAGAAAAGTGCGCTGGTGATTAACTCCTAACTGTAACAGCGACTTCTCTATTTCATCAATAAAAGCAGATGAAATCGGCGATATTAAGTTATTGTAGGCGAAAAAGGATCAAGGCTTTCTTTTTTGTTTCAAATTGGGTGGGCGTAGGCTGAGCTGTGTGCAGTGGTTCGCTTTCATGCCACAAAGCCAGACAAATTCTTATTCGATTGAGAATCTTCTTTTTTGACAAATGAATAAGGTTTTCATTTGAATGTATTTGCGTTTGTAATGCACGTTTTCTGATGCGCATGAAACGAATATGGTGTGGTTAGCATACCACCGATCGCTTACAAAAAATCTTCATGAACATTACAGGGTGTGGTGTACGTGGCCGCAGTTGCCTCTCTGCGCAGCAGAGGATCGTTGGGGGAGAAAGAGCCGAAAAGCTCGAGTTTCCCTGGCAGATATCACTACGCCGTATGGTACCACAGATCAACCTGGACCGGGGACACTCTTGCGGAGGCTCCATCATCAACAGCCGCTACGTCCTCACAGCTGCACACTGCATCACAGGGTGAGAGCCTGATAAATGCTTTTTAAAGACGATACTCTTTCTTGGGGACCTTCAACGGAAAAATTTCGGTCTGTCTGTCTGTGCATTTGTCTGTTTGTCCACTCTAACGATACTCCAAACGGCGCCAAACGGCCCAGCCCATCCGCAGTGCCCACCAATATTGCTCAAGGTTTAGCGTTCATAGTTGTGCGATTGTCAATTAAAAAAAGAAATTATTGCGCATATATAAGGCACCATAACAACACGTCAATGTTTTGTATGTCTGCCTTTATACCAGAAAAGGCACACACAAGTAACTCTAAGGAGCGTAGCGTTTATCGCGCTGCGCTGAGAGTGCAATAGATGCTCAAGAAGGTGTTTCCAACGCTTTGCTACGACGACACGGTGGTGGCACCTGCCCGTCGCTTTGAATTATACACTTTATAACCTCCAAGACTGGCGCACATCTTTCTCCGCTGTCACGCACACCTTCGTTTTCGAATATAACTGCCAGATGGCACTCGGGTAGGACGTGCCTAGATGCGCTTGTTCGCCTCCGCTACACGCTCGAGGCACTCTAACGCAGCGCCTTCAGAATATCATTCACCGATTTTCTTGCGCAGAACATCAAATAAACGTTTTGTTCACTCTCTCCAGACGCAAGACTATCGTCTTTCAACGACATTTACAGTGTAACATGTAGATTCGGGCCAATTTTTTTACTTATTTTCATCAATGTTTATCGAGGTGACGCCTACCTATTTTTTAAAGAAATTTTTGTGGTACCTGCCTTATTTAGAACGAGAAAAAGCTTACCGGTCAGAGCATCCAGCTACGTAATAGCCAACCGGAAAACGCTTCCAAACAATTGTAGTTTGATTTTCTGGACGTGAGTGTTGTGTGTGAAGTGCGCGAGTGTGTTGCTTTTCAAAGTTGGCGCTACAATGATCGACGAAGCCGGGCGCGAGCTTGGCGAGCACCGCAAAGAAAAAGAAAAGAAAAACACGATGAAAATGCGACACGTGATAGGTGAACAAGAGCAAAAAAGAGAATCCAGAGCCACTGCACCGAAGAAAGAGGAGGAAGAAGAGTCGTGCGGGTGGTTGGAAGAACGTGGCTTGAATTCATTATAATTTTCATTATAAGGTACCGAGTGGCCAATACCCCTTGGAGTATAACCCAAAACCTTTAAGCGATAAAACAAAACAAAACGTGGCTAGAATGTGGCGTGCGAGTTCACCGGTTGCATGTATCCGGGCTTCAAGGCATACACCTAGCTGGTCACGACTAGGTGGACGCCTTGGTGACCTGGTGGCCATTCAACCACCGAGGCTATTGCCGAGTCCCTGGCACAGCCTGTTTCTGGTGTTCGGGCAGAAGAGAGCGCTGCAGATCACTGCGTCGTCCACGGGGACGGGAGCTAGCCGTTGTGCTACGAGCCCAAGCTTGCGTACACCCACCACGGCGTCTTCCTCGCTGGACTGTTCAAGGACAGTACAGCCTGTCCAGGACCTGTCTCCTTGCGTGTCCGGGCTTTAATAAGAACTATATGAGGAGCGCCAAGGCCAGCGTCATCACAGCGTCGCACAGTGTGACCAGACGGATTTATTGTGAAATCTTCTCAAGAGGCGTAAAGTTTTCGCCAATGAACCATTGATGAAAAAAAAAATCACAGCATATCCATGAAGTGAATGATGACGAGGGGGGCGAAGCGGACGGACGGATGCATGGACGCACGCACGGACACATTGTGTCGAAGAGAATGAACCGGAGACCTCGCAAAACATTGTGCAGTGTCCGTCAATGCAGCAATAAGAAATATTTCGGAAAATCGGTTTCATGCCTCATTTGCAGTTCCGAGGTGAGAGAAACTGATCGCAGTACCACCGAATAGTTTTTTTTTTTTACTTATAGGGCCAGTTGCTGAGAATAAGAAGTACTAGAAACTCGCAATATATAGCCCCTAGAGCTAGGAAGTTGTTGTACACCTTTGAGGTAACGCATACGAGGCGTATAAATTTTTCTCCTTGGCAGCTTACATCACCTCCAGTCACTTAGGACACCAAAGGGATAGAAAAAAAAAATCCTCGACACTTTATACCTTGAGGCCAAATATGTAACACTTCAACAAATGTGCAATTGCCAAGACCGTTTCACGTCTGTTTTGCCGGATGGCTCTGCAATGGACGAAAGTTCGACTGCGGCTTTTCATATACCCGAATATAAAGTAGAAAAAGATTTCCGACTTTCTCGAAAGACATCGTCAACAGCAGCGGAGCTTGTTGCAATATTACAAACTTCTAAATTCATTGTTGAAAGCCAGCAAAGGCGAAATTAAGTAATATATTCTGACTCCAAAAAAGCGCTGCAAATGATTAAGGATTTTTATTTTCATATAGATGATAAAATCTTATATGAAATATTGAAAACAATTACCATTGGTTGTCTGGACGGCCACAAGATATATTTTCAGGGGATTCCAAGTCACGTAGAAGTGATAGGAAATGAAATTGTTGACAAATTAGCCACTTTAGCACACAAAAACGTTCACTCGACACCAGCGCCCGTTTATTTCTCAGAGAGCGAGAAGGTTCTTTTTTGAACTGTGCCACAAATTGTGCAAAGATGCTTGGTTTGACGAAAATACAAAGTCGTCTCTTTTACATCAAATGGATCCGTCTCTCCAATTTTCACCTAATCAAAAGATCGACAGACCATTCGACACGCTATTGCACCGTCTACGATTAGGTGTTTCATAAACACCTCACTTTTTATGTGGCATAAAAAGAAGAACGTCCCCGCAGTGCGACCACTGCGATCATGTTGATTCTTCAGAGGAGCATATTCTTTTAGAATGTCCGCAATACGATCAACAACGCGCTGAAATGAGGGATCGCTTGAACTGACTTGACAGACGACCATGGACGATTATAAAAAGGCTTGGATTGTGGCCGCATTCGGATAATCAAAGGCGCGCAGTGAGCGCCCTCCACGATTTTTCAGTGAACACAAATCTAATGAACTGTTCATATCATACCTTGCCGCCATCTGTACGGACTCTATCCGCAATGTTATCCCGATATTTCAACTGAACTTTGACCATACATAGTGTGCTTATTCATGCATTATATTCCCTATAACTATAGTATTGTACATGATGTATTTGACTAGTTTTTTTTATTTTATTCCTAATTTAGCTTTTGTGAAATTATATTCTACATTACTGTTATGATGTTGAAATAGCCGGCTCTAACCAAGCCTACCTTCCCTCGTTCCACCAAATATAAATAAAAACTACAGCGGGAAACAACAACAACAACAACAACAACAACAACAACAACAACAACAACAACAACAACAACAACAACAACAACAACAACAACAACAACAACAACAACAACAACAACAACAACAACAACAACAAGAGATGTGTACTAACGTCCGCAGCAACATTAGGGTCCGTTTTTACCAATAAGCACTGAATAAGCTATCGTTTCGAAGGAAAGCAGTTTGCTGGAGTGTTTTCACACTGACCATTCTCGATTTGTAAAATGGAGCCCCGACACGGTGGTCTAGTGGCTAAGGTACTCGGCTGATGACCCGCAGGTCGCGGGTTCGAATCCCGGCTGCGGCGGCTGCATTTTTGATGGAGGCGGAAATGTTGTAGGCCCGTGTGCTCAGATTTGGGCGCACGTTACAGAACTCAGGTGGTGAACATTTCTGGAGCCCTCCACTACGGCGTCTCTCATAATCATATGGTGGTTTTGGAACGTTAAACCCCACATATCAATCATATCAATCAGTGATTTGTAAAATGAAACGTGCTCGCGTGGCACTCTTGCATTCTGCGTGCTCAGAAACAACAGCACTTCGTGTCACAATTTTACCGTGGCGGCCGCCAGTAACTTATGCTAATATTTTCTCTTGTGGTGTATCTATTGTCATGCTTCATGAATATCTACATGGAACCATCGTACACCTCATTGTGCATGGTCCTGTCCTACATCATCGTCGAAAGAACACCATTTTTTTACATCTCGATTCGAAAGCAGTACAGAAAGACTCACTCGAACACCCGTATCTTATAATAAATGGTAGAGAAGGAACTGTAGGAATTTTAAGCAGTCCAAGATAACCGGTTTGCTATCCTACACGTGGGAAAGGCAGACTGAAGGAAGGAGAGAAAAAGGACAAAGAGATAGCTCATCAAAGCGCTCGTGCACAAGTACCTAGTCAGTATAAGACCATCAATTGACGTGGAAACGCGACATCAATATCACAACCGCTGGTCCAGGTCCATCTCTTTTCTTCTTTTTTTTAATCTCCGACGTTTTTTAGTCACCTTCAGCTGCAATGTCCCTTGTCGATGACATGCTAGAACAGATTAAACAGACATTGATCTATTATCGAGGCACGCTATAATGGAAGCCAGTGATTGTATCGGCACATTACAAACCGGACAGTCGCGCATTATGTGGCGTAGCGTCCCTTCACAACTACACGCATCACAGAGAGCAGTGATGGTCAGTTTAATGTGGAAGGAATATGATTTCGTAAATAACACTCCTAAAAATAGATGATAAGGTAATATGGCTGCTTTTTTTGTTGTTGTTTCGAATGTCTGGCCCTAGGCATAATAAATTTTGATTCAAAAATACACAGGCAGGTTTGCATCATGTAGCACTTAGCATATACTAATACATCAAGGAGCGAAGACGGTGTTAATGACTGTTCAACTAGGTCTGGCTGCTTGCGGGCCACTTCAGAGAAAGCATGATCACCTGTGCAAGCCCTCGTAAACTGCCGGCCGGATCATACCTTGAAAGTGGTAGCCTATCTTCATGTGTGCCGTCAAGAGCAGCCCGAGTGGCATTATCGGTGTGTTCGTTTCCTATGATGCTGCAGTGACTTGGAAGCCACTGAAACTTCCCGTCGTGCCCTTTCTCATGCGATATGTAAAGAAGATTCATCCCCCCAATCTCCTCATCATTGAATTCCTGTCCACCTTATTCCTAATAATAAAGAACCAATCTATGTATCTCCTCTCCTATCAGAATTATATATAAATAAATAAATAAATAATATATATATATATATATATATATATATATATATATATATATATATATATATATATATATATATATATATATATATATATATATATATATGGGCCTCTTCCCGCATCGCGCATGTGGTGCCTGTGTTACAGTTCAAACGAAGATATAAAAGTGGAGGGCATCGGAGCCCCTTTGAAGCCCATGAGTCGATTGTACAGACAGTGCTTCTGTTTTGAAAGTCCTTACTACTGTGCGACGGAGGCAATATGTTTTGTGCCAGTCAAGCAGTAACGATCCTTCACCTTCAGGGCCAAGCTACCTATAGCGCATCATATTCTGATGGATTGATTTACTATACTTTCATGTCTTGTTTTTTAGAGAAGTCATATGTCGAGGAATCTGTCGAGCATCTGAGCAACGAGAACGAAGTGCACCAACAAAGCTTTCTTTCAAGCTGCTTAAATGAATGCATTCCATTATGCAGGCAAATCACGTTCCCGACAGACTTTTTCGTTGTTGTGGGAGAGGAAGACATTACCAGGAGGGAGAGCACCGACGACGTAATCCAAGTGCTAAAGGTACGCAGCGTACGGCGTGCAATATTTACGCCTAGATTGTGTATCTGATATCATTTTTTTACTGTTACATCAAAAGCATCATAGAAAATACTAGGGTTAATATGAAAACAAGAACATAGTGTACTTTAGCATCATATATGTCAGTATTACAACAAGTGAAACCATTGCAGACAAAGAAATGTGCAGGCTTTTATTCCAAATTGCATAACAAGTATTAGTACCACACAGTAGCGATTCCCGATTTGTTTGTGTATTGGTTAGATGATGTTGAAGATATCGTGGAGGCATGGGTTCTCCGGACTTCACTATTTCACTATTCACTACTTAGCCAAAAAGCGCTAAGGAGTAAACTTTTCTATACCACGTACGAAATTGTCATTGCAATTGAGGCAGCAGAAACAGTGCTTATTTTCCAACAGCGAACCGAGTATTATCCCGTGTGGTTCAGTTCAAGCGTTCATCAGTTTTTTTTTGCCCTTTTCAAAAGCTTTACAACTGCGATGAGGTCACGTCATAGTCAAAGGGGAAGCATATACAAGCTATCTGGTAATATTCAACATATTCTTCACACAGTGACTTAAAATTCGGTAATTTTTGTTTGAACTTATCTTACTATGTATTCACCTAAATCATTGTACTGTCTCTCGTTCGATTTATTGCCTCATACCCCCATCGTAGGCTATGCTCGGGCTCTGCGGGACTGGGCAACCAACAAGCTTCAATTCGCTGGCTCATATCATGAATAGATTGTGCATGCGTATATGTGAGGGCGTGCAGGAACAGCTGAAGCTCGCAGCGAAAATCTGATGGTATGGGCCACTGGCAACCGCGGTCCTTCTTCAGAGAGCGACAGTTGCGATCACAGAAGTGCCTACGAAGCACCGAACTAGATTGCTGTATACGGTTCCGTGCACGCAGGTCACCAAGCACCCGCAGTGGGACAGAAACACGCTGAACTATGACTACGCTCTTCTGGAGCTGAGCACTCCCCTGGATTTCGAAGGGCGGCACAAGCACTTGATGCCCATTTGCCTGCCCGAGAAGGATCAGGACTTCGAGGGACAAAACTGCACCATCAGCGGATGGGGACTCACCAGGGACAGTCAGTATATTTTCATGCTTTGTACACACAACTATCATTCGAGACCACGTATAGCGGCCCAGATGCCAACCATCCAACGCGCCCAATTTGGGTAAGATCATAGATGTGACAAAGTACGGTAGGAGACCTGGACCAAGCGAACTTCATCATCATCCTCGTCATCATTATCATCATGATCAAAAACAATATCACCGTCATAATCAGCCTGACTACGTCCACTGCAGGACAAAGGCCTCTCATGTTTAAGAGAACTTAAAAAAACAATAAAAAGAAACACAATTCTTACGCGTTAAAGAAGTACTATCTTAAAATGCTGATAACGCCACCGGTACCGCGAGACGACACTTCGTAAGAGAGAAAGCGTGTGAAAATAAATATACAGGTGGGACGCCACCTCGAAATTCCCCGCAAAATATCGTGACGTCGAAGTGGAACGTTATTTGAAGGCGTCTACTAGGTCCTACGTAGCTTCTAACTAATAAATTGAACCACATTACCATCTGTGGGTGCCATTGCCTAGCATACGACGTTCCAGAGTATTTAATCCAGTAGATCTCGCGAAAATACGAGAAATACATTTTGAAATTAGTTACGTCAGGCATGGAGGTCTAGGCACGCGAAATTTCGAAACGAATCTTCAAGCTTTATTTTATCCGCTAATAATGAACCTATGATAGTGAGACTTGAGGAATGAGAGTCTTCAGAGGGCAGTTTATCAATGTGAACCAATTCATTATTGCTCTTTAATGTCCCTGTAGTAGTATTGAACCCACTGGATTGCCTAAGCCAGTTTCAGAATCAGTTGTGAGCAAGACATCAATGAGTGCACGAATAAATTCAAGTCATCTTGGTTAGTGTCTTGGCCCCTTAATATTACTTTTTATGTGTAATGCGTGTACGCTTTTTTATATTATCGCGTTATTCAATCTTGTTACATGAAGTCCAGCTCATGTGTTCAGCAGAATGCGAGGAGAGGAAACATGCTCTGGTGCCGTCCTAGAAGATGACGTTATACTGCCGAATACGATATTGTCGATTCGTTTCCTGGTCGTAGCAGGACCACGGTTTTGTGAGGGAAATTTAGAAAAAAAAACATTCTCATGTATACGCTTTTTATACTGGTTAAGAACACCAAGTGGTCAGAACAAATCCGGAACTTTCCAGCTACTTCAGCGACTGTCATATCCTAGTACCATTGTGAATGATGTCAAATTCGCCATTTTGTGCAAGCCGTGATCAGCGCAGAAAAATATCGGGGCTAAACAATCCGGGTTACTAAGGCTTCTATGATCAGCTAGAATGCTACCATTAGAAGATTTCATCACGTGTCGAATACGACGATGCCTATATACAGTAACAACGCGAATGTTGATTTCGAGTGCTGCACCACACGGATGAAAACGTCACACATCTGAAAGACAGGCCCACCTCTAGACTCACCCAAGTATATTATTTTAATATTAGGCTTCGTCCACTAAGGCTGATGCAGGCTACGTCTCCAAAAAAATGAAGTGTGTGATTTGAAAAGGGGCATACAGAAAGGGGCACCATGCTCGCAAATGTGTATGTTTCTAGTTAGACACTGTTTCATACCAAGACCCGAGAAGCGGCTTTTCTTCATAGATAGATAGATAGATAGATAGATAGATAGATAGATAGATAGATAGATAGATAGATAGATAGATAGAGAGAGAGAGAGAGATAGATAGATAGATAGATAGATAGATAGATAGATAGATAGACGGATAGATGGATAGATAGACGGATAGATAGACGGATAGATAGATAGATAGATAGATAGATAGATAGATAGATAGATAGATAGATAGACGGATAGATAGACGGATAGATAGATAGATAGATAGATAGATAGATAGATAGATAGATAGATAGATAGATAGATAGATAGATAGATAGATAGATAGATAGATAGATAGATAGATAGATAGATAGATAGATAGATAGATAGATAGATAGATAGATAGATAGATAGATAGATAGATAGATCTCAACTCCAATCCTCCCCACGCGTAGGAACGGAAGGAGGCAGGGTCCCGGCCAAATTACAGAAGGCTGATGTGCCCGTGCTGAAGCATTCAACTTGCCGTGAGTTCTACGCGGGCTTCAATCGGGTCCAGGAGGATACCATGATCTGCGCTGGACTCGAGGAAGGAGGCCGCTCCGTGTGCCAGGTACGATCTGCTATTGTGTTAGCTATTTATTGGCTCTGACCAATTCTTCATAAGAGATCCATCATAACAGATCTATCTCGCTGTAATAATACCTGTGCCTACTTCCAGGCTTCTAGGTCGATGACAACTGCTGCTAAGACTGTCGTGCGCGAGGAGTTGAGCCTTGTGTGTCAGTTCATATGGTGATTCGCAATGCCAGCACCAGGTAGATCCTGTCACGTGGATGCAGTAGAGACCTTAGAACGTAAAGAGAACGTAAAGTGAAGGGGCGCGAAAGGCGTAATGTATTGAGCAAAATTTGAGCCCTGACCTGTTTGCGGAGACTGACGGACAGTGGCCAAGTTAAACTGTTATCGTCAGTGATTTTCCGCAATCACGGCGGTGAAAGGAAAGACAGTGCAACCTCTGCACAGACCTTTCAAACAAAAGTATCAGCATAGGGCACCAGATAATGAAGAGAACGAAGGTGTAGAAGGTACCTATACTGCTTAAGGTACGTTGTAGTGATTGTGATATAGGTGGGAAAAATTTTTTTTTTCTAAAAGTGACAATTTTTGACAATTTCATCACCTGCCACCTTCGAATCCACAGGTTGCAGGCTCGATCCCTAACAGTGACAAGTTGTCTTTTCGTTCATTACTTGACCTTCTTCACATCTATAGCACACTTACTGCGTTACACTTAAAGCGATATAGTTAACAACCCCTACACCTTCTCTGGTTTCATTATCTGGTCGCTTTCATTGAAGTTGTTTCAGATAGCGAAACAAGCTCTTTAAAATTCTTCATTTTGTCAAGCATGTTGATTTGGAACGCTGACCCACACATGTGGCACATCAGGGAAACACAGCTCCACCTGTAAGCTGATGTGGTCCAACTTGTTTAATAGCAAAGGAGCACTGCAACACATTTCTAAGGGGCCATATAATGACTTCACTAAGTTTCCCAGAATCTTACTGCCCAATATGGCGGCTACAAAACCCATCCGTAAAGTATTGCGGATATGGTTCCGGTGCGACCATATTCAGCTGCTAACCTTGCTGCATTGTGCTTATAAGTTGGACGTTCACACATAATAGCTGTGTTTCTGCACTCAACGTTTATTGACCTTAATATTCACGCCACAACATGCAAAAAATAACAATAAAGATACGCTCATTGAATTACCAACCTTTGGTGGCGGCACACGTGTGTGCTAAATAAGATGGTCTATGCGAGAAATGTCTCGCAGGCGGATGATAGAATGTAAGATTTAGTTCGAAAGTGGTGATGATAGACCACAAAAGCAAACGGTTTTGACGCTGTAGTTCACCACCGCAGCCACCGATGTCCGTAACCGCTAACGCGCGAATAGAAAAAAAAACAAAAATAAATAAGGGAGCTAGTAGAACTCGCTGTTGGGCTAGTTGGTGCATGTCTTGACTAAATAAGAAAGCTATTTATACGGTCAGATAGGGATTGAGCCCCCACACACTGCGTGGTGCTGAGGTGTTCTACCACAGAACCATGCTTAATTTTTATCTTTATTACTCATTCTCAGATATTATTTACGCCAACGATGACATAGAGGTAATAATAAGTCTCAGTCTTAGTGGACAGTGTGATTCCTTCGCAAAAAGAACCTTTTGCTGCCGTCACGTCGGGCAAGCAATAATGTTAACATCTGTTGTAGTGCTGTAGAGGAGTAAAATATTACAACTGGAATTGTTCAGAAAAAAACTGGTGAACGATTTAGAGTACTTGGTACTCTACTATGGGAGAGCACTAGGCCGTCCCATGGGCCTCTTATACAGAAAAATTGCCCTACACATGAAAAAAAAATGACTAAACTGGAATCGCGCAACCAGCC